CTACAGTGACACCCTCAACCTCTGCTGCTGGGTGCCTCTGTACAGGAAGAATTGGGGTCTGCCCCTGCTCAGCTCTGCACTGCTGCTGCCACCACTGGACTCAGGGATTCATCTGAGGGGAGAAATGCCCCCAGCTGAAAAGCCCTCTGTCTCATCCCGGAAGCGCCCCAGTCTGCATTTTTATCTCTGCTCTCTTGTGATGGCCCAATGACTGTTCCAAACAGGATGAGCCAGAATTATTTTATAAACTCTCCCCATATTAGCATATTTCACCCTCAAGCCTCCCCAGAGATGCTGCAGCCCACAGGCAGCTTTGGCTTGCAGAGCGCTGAGGACAGCAGAGATGCCCTGATCAGGCAGAGCTGTGGCTGGCTGCATGGCTAGGAAGAAACAGACTTTAAAGTCAGTGCTCTTTCTTGGAGTCAGAGCCTCCACTAAAATCACATTAAATGTAGTGAAACAGGTCGGAATGCAGCACATCTCGGTGAAGACCAAAACCAACCGGATGTCGCTGTCATCTCTTTGACAGGCCTGCCCTGGTCCAGGGCATCCCAACTCCAAAATGAGAGCAATTATTCTAATTTGCTCTACTGCATTAGCAGGGGCAGCACTGAAGAAAAGGGACTTCTTTCACGCCCTGTCACCCTGCCCGCCAGCAGGCCCAGAAGGGCAGACCTCTGGCTCCACCATGGAAGTGTCCTGGGAATTTTTGGAAGATGAGATCTACAGTGTCTGACCTCTGGCCCGCCAGCTGCACCCGTGCATGGCCATGGGTCCAGGCAGGGCTCCCCAGCAACCCCTTTGTGCCTCTGATCTCCAGCTGTTTGTCTCGGCAAAATTGTGGCAGGAGGAGGGGCCGTTCCTATGACTTTAAAGACCCCACACCCACAACACTGCACCGAGGACATTCCAAATCCCTTTGCCCACTCCCTGCAGCTCTCACAAAGCTGATCCCACATGGGTGTCGTGATGATTTCAAAGGATCTCCAAGATTGGGGGGAGGGCATACACTAACAACAGCATTAGTAATTTCTCTTCCTAACTGCACATTTCAGCCCAAATGGTTTTCCTGCGACTGGCTGCTGTACTTCCTGTGCACACACATGCACTGTCTGTGGAGGCAGGGGGTAGCCTGCTCAGGACATTCATAGTAAATACTCTGAAGATGCCAGTTTGGGAGAAATTGGAACCTTTCAACCCCCTCACTAAACCATCATGCTGTGAGTTGCTTCTCAAAGTATGTGTTGGTGGTGTCCTGGCGAAATGGCAGCATGTGACTCAAGCCCCTGGGGTGTCCAGGCTCCAGATGCAGCCTGGAGAGCTGCCCCCAGCAGGGACCACTGGCCTCGCATCAGAGGAGAGGAGACGCACTGGGTATTTGGAAGCAGAAAAGACCCCCAGGCTCTGCCCAGCCACTGCATGTTGGAAAATCACAGCCTGCATGTAAACACGACCTCTACTCATCTAGAGGCTGGTGTGGAGGCCCTAGGACCTGCAGTAGCCCAGTTGTCTGCTTGGGGCAGGTTTTTCTAGCTACCTGGGGAGCTGACAGTATCTCCCCAGAGCTCAGGGGAATTTGCTTCTAGGCAACAAGAGCATTCCTGGGTGTTAATCTGAGCCCCAGGTCCCTTGGAATGCAAATCATGGAGAGACTGGTTTCAGATGAGGGATCTGTCAGGTACAACTCCAGTGAAAAGCTCCATCCTGTGTGTGGTGCACCCCAGGCTTGGGGCCCCTGTGTCAGCAGCCAGGAGACGTGGCTTGCCCGACCTTCTGAACCTGTTGAGGCTATGGGGTGTTTTAGATGCTTCATCTTCTTTCCAAGTGGACACCTTTTTCATGAGGAAATGCTGCAACTGTTGGGTGCAGGGGAACTGAAAGAAGGTCAGTCTCTGTGACCTGTGCACCCTTAGCAGGGCCTGCTCCCACCAGGTCTCTCACCCTAGGGGAATGGGAGAACCACAGGCTAGGTAGGCCCCCTCAGATGCGGGCACAGTGGGCCTTGGGGGCTGCCAGCTCAGAGTCCACCTTAAAGGCAGTGGTTGCCTGGCTCTCAAGCACATGGGGGCCATCTGTGTGCCAAGCTCAGCTCTCAGACAGAGAAGCTTTGCCCACAGGAGCCAAGACTCCACAACCCCAAGCCTTGGCCACTTGGCATTCAATCATGGCTGCAGGGTCTATGGAGACAAGACAGCCCATGAGCATCCCTGTGTTCAGCAGGGGGATTCCATGGTCACACATGGCACTGGCCCTGAGGTTACAGCAAGGCAGGCAAGAATAGGTGTGGGAGGTCCAGGATGCAGCCCTCTTAGGGCGTCCCCAGCAGCTTTGGGGCTGTGACTTCTTTCTGTGGCCCAGGATCTTGGCATTTTACATTTTCAGTGTTTAAGAAGCATGCTCTGCGTATGAGGGCAGTGGGTCCCCCACTCACTGCCAGGCTCAGGCCACCTCCCATTGCCCCAGAATGACCTGGTGTCTCTCACTCTCCTTTCTTGAGCCCAGAGCAGAGGGACGTGGGCTGTTCCTGTTCCTTGGGTCTGGCGGGTTATTGGCCTGTCTGTGCCATTTTTTTTTTTTTTTTTAGAATTAATTTTGGGATGAAAAAGCATCAAAGAAGGCTTTGTTCCTTTGACACTTGCTCTGGAAGAAAAAAAAATCCGTGGAAAATCTGACATCTGCAATGTAGAGAGGAATCACTAGATGGGAGGAATATAATTATCCTCCGCTTCTGCAAGAATTTTTCAGATTTTTAAGTGTCTCATATCAGCTTAGAATTTGAATGACATTTTAATTATTTTGTTTTTTTCTTCTTTTCCTGGTTTGAATCTCCGAAGAGTCCTACTTGGATTCCAAGGGGCTGCAGGGAGCCAGCAGTGCTCCCAGGATGCATTGGTGCAGGCGCTGTGCCTGCCACACGGCAGAGCAGGTGCGTCTCATGAGAAGCCAGCGCTCCCCCAGTGGCAGGGCAACTGTTGTCGTTGTTGTGACAGAGTCCTACCCTATGCCCTGAACAGAATACAATGGCGTCATAACTCACTGCAACCTCAGACTTAGGCAGTGGGCATCCCACTGCCTCAGCCTCCAGATGCTGCTGGGATTACAGATGCTCTCCCTAGTGCCCAGCTGGGTTTTGTTTTTGTTTTGTTTTTTTTTTTTCCCCCTGGAGTCAGGGTCTCACTCTCGCTCAAGCAAGTCCCAAACTCCTGAGCTCAAGTAATTCTCCCTCCTCAGCCTCCCACAGTGCTGGGATTATAAGTGTGAGCTACCCGCACATGGCGGGAAGCCCTGTTTTTGTGCAGACACGATGTGCAGCACTGGAGCACAGCTGGAGGCTGCAAGTCCCCTTTCCAGAAGATATGACTCTTAGTTTTCACATTAACACATCCTGCAAGTCTCTAAAGGGCAATGCTCCTGGTACTCATCACACAGCTCCCAGGCACTGCAGTGTTAGGGGTGAACGGGAAGCCAGTGTGTGCTGTGACCCCAGAGGTGTCAATGCTGAAGCAGGAAGTGGCCCCCAAACCAGCCTTCAAAGTAAGGTGCCTGAGATAACTCAGTTTTGGAGCCCCTTTGAGGCACACCTGTGGGCCGACTGACTACGCGTCACGTGGTGTCGCCCTGCTCATGCCTGGTGAAGATGCACTTCTGGTCCACTCTCAGGCACCCCACTTCCCCAAGGCTTCTTCCAGCTCCTCTGGTGTCAGTCACTGTGCCTGGACTCCAGTGGCCCAGGCTGGAGGGCACAGGTGGTCATAGCCCCTCCTGCTCTCATATCCGTGCTGTCCCACACCCAGGCCTATGGTCTACATGTTTGGAACTCGGAGCTGGGCAGGTACCACCGCTCATGTGGCCCAGCCCTGCCCAGGATACTCTGCTGGCCAGCTGCGGGCCCCTCCTGTGCCCATCAAATGCAGCCAGAGAGCCAGGGACTCACACATGGTCCTGCTTGGTGCCCTGAGTACCCCAGAGTCCCTCCCATGTGCGTCCCCTTGACCAGGCTGTGGCCCTTGGTAGTCCACCAAGTGCTGATCTCAGATTGCTGGGTGGTATTTTGTAGATGTGACTGAAGTCTGTAGTCAGTGGAGCTCAGAGATAAGGACTGTCCTGGACACCTGGGGGCTGGCCCTAGCAGGTGGAAGGCCCAAGGGCAGGCTGGGGTACCCTGGAGGGGGAGGAATCCTACCCTGGTGGGCAATACCAGATCCTGCCCTTACTTTCTAATAGGTGCGTCCTCACCTCACCAGTGCTGCCTGCCTTAGGCTGTCCCATCCACCTTGGCCAATTGCAGGCTGGCCCCTGCTATGACTTGGATGTCTAAGCCCAGGGTGACATTGCCAAGAGGTGGGCCTAGAACCCCAATACCTCTGCAGGGTGATTAGGACTAGTGCACTTATAAGAGGTGCCTGAGGGAGACCCTTGCCCTCCTTCTGCCACATGAGGATAGCAAAGCCAGTCACGGGAGACACTTCAGGCCCCAGCCTGGGGCTCCTCATGTTTTGCAAAGGGTGGTGACTGCTGGGTGTCAGGCTGAATGTTCCTCTCCAGCCCACTTGGCTTTGGAATAGTTGGTCAAGGTTGCAACTGAGAATCACACCTTTGATATAGTCCTTAGGGTCTGAAGAGGTGAAATTTCTGCACATGTTCATTGGTTTGAAGAGACTGTGTTACTGTGGCCATGCTCAGAGGTCTAAAATCTGAGTTTTAAAGAAAGCACAGGAGGCATTGACTTTATGAAAAAAAAAAAAGCCACTATTTCTTTTTACCCATAATATGCATTTATTAACTTATATTGACTAAAAAAGGTCTGAATGTCCCTTCAAAAAGCTTTGTTTGAATTTTACCTTTCAGGGTATTTCGTGCACCAAATGAAAACTGTCCCCTCAAAGTCTCACCATGAAGTTTCTCCAGTGTGGACGGTTCTTTGTCCATGGGGACCGTCGCTGTTCCATCTCCACACCCAGCCCCCAGTAACTGACACTCTTTCTGTCTTGCCTCGACAGGGTCTGATCAAGCTCCGGGGAGACCCGTGCTGGCAAGACCTCACCTGCATGGACTTCCACTACGAGGTGAGCTGGGCCCTGTTGAGGGGGGACTCAGGGAAACCACACCACAAGCCTGGCTCACCTGCAGGGCCCTGTTTCAGGTGTGACCCACTCACCACAGGTTCCCCCTCGGGTTGTCCAGGTCATCCCATCCTTCCTTTCTCTGGGGCAGGGTGGCCATGAGGGGACTTGCAGAGTGTCTCCCACATGCTGAAGCTGGAGGGACAGTGTGTCCCACTTTGGTTTCCAGGTGGTTTGGGTTCTGGGTTTTTGTGCTGCCATCCTTGGTCTTGCCCAGGCTTGGCACCTTGGCTCCTAGGTCTGCAGGTGCACAGAGGGAGTTGGTCTGGGACTGTGTGCCCAGCCCCCAGAGCTATAGCTCTATCACATGGCCAGGTAGGTCCTGCAGGGGGCAGGTGGGATTCCTATTGTGCACCAACCCCCTGTGGCCCCTCCCTCTACCTCAGCACAGGCCCCAAGGCCCAGTCCCAGGTCTAAGTCCCAGGGACACTCCTGTACCTGCCAATAGCTCACTGACAGTGTTGGGGCCAGGACTGGGCTCATGTCACCCTGTGCATCAGCCTGAGGCCATTCGATGACTTACTGAGGACCCTTTGTTCACATGGCATCCTGTCAAATGCCTCCATCCTCATGTCAGTACTATGTCATTCTCAACGCATCCAGAGCTCTTCCTCTGTGCCTGCTGGCATTGGCAGACAGAGAGCTTAGAGCCTTCTGTACTTTTCAGTCCTGAAGGCTTTAGTGCTTGGTGGTGCCTCTGGGTACTGAGGATGACACCTCCTCGTAGCCGTGCCTCTTTTGTGGCAGTTTTGTGTCCTGCCAGGTGGCAGCCATTGTATGCACTGCATTCACCCTGTCTTGACGGACCCTTAAGTCTTGAGATCTTCCCCCTGTCCTGGCAGACCTGCCCCAGGAGTCCCGCCTCCTTCACAGAGGAGTTCCTGAGTCCCTTCCTTTGTCCCTGAGTGGGGTGAGCTGCTGTCATTGTTTTCTGCTCTGCAGAGGAGATGGTCTCTGTCGTAGTAGCCACCTAGAGGTGCCCCAATGGGGACGGCAGCACACATCAGACAAGAGCCAAGTGCCCACCAAGGTATTTGTGGAACCAGCTACACCCACTTGTGCTCCACCCAGGTCAAGGTTCAGCACCCTCAGCACAGAGCAGTGAACACTAGTGTGGCCTTGATCCTCCAGGGCCAGAACCTTCCGTGTCAGCATCCCCCTGAGGTTCCTACACCTGACACCCACTGGGGCCCCCCCAGTGCTATTGGCACAGGTCGTTTGCTGGGCAGTGTTGGCACGGCTGAGAACTGTTCGGGAGCAGATTTCAGTAGAAGTTGATAAGAATAGCTGATGTAGCTGACTGCCCTCCCAAAGTAAACAGAAACCTCTCCTCTGCGGAGCAACTGCATTTTGGAGCCAGTATCTGTCATGCAAACATCCTGGGTATGGATCTCCCCAGCGGTTGTAGCCTGCTGTGAGCCCAAAATGTCTTGGGATCCTCAGGACCAGTCAGCCAAGACCAGTCAAGAGAGCAGTTATCCTGGGGGGTGGGGGGTTGTCTTGACCATTGCTGTGCTCAAGCTAAGGATGCTGGCAGGGGTCTGGGGTGAAAGGCTGGACATAATGCCTCCCCCTAGAGCCACTGTTCCTGAGCAAGGCCACCTGGGGTGAGGCAGATACTCTCTGCCTCTGATGTACACCTGTTCTTTTCTCTGCCCCAAGTGCCCGAGCACTGCCGTGCTCTGGGGGTGGTCTCTACTCCTTAGGGTCCCACCATGGCCATCAGCTCCACAGGCACAGGTATGGCCTATGGCTATGGGTGGGATGTGGTCCTGGTGGTACTGGCCAGAGACTGCAGAAGTCTCTGGAGCCCACCTTTGGGGATAGCCAGAGCCTAGGACAACCCTTGAGGTCTCAAGGTACCACAGGCATTATTGCAGCCAGAGGGTGGGCCCTGGCAGTGTCAAAGGGGCAGGAAGGGACTGTAGGCAGGCATGCATGCAGCTCTCTGTCTCCCAAATTCATGTCCATCAGACCTGAGAACACAACTATGTCTGAAGAAAGGATCAGTGCAGGGGTAATTGGCTGAGGTCAGCCTGGACCAGGGACCCTGGGAGCTATGAGGTCAGGGCCTGAGGACAGCCAGACCATGGTACCTGAGAACTGTGGGATCTGGAGACAAATCCAGCTGTGCTACCTCAAGGCAGGGCCAGCACCCAGCAGAGCCTTCCCTTGTTTTCAGACACACTTTGTTGACCAGGTAGGAGCATAGGCATTGAGCTACAGGCGGGGAGGGTTCAGATCCCTCCTGCTTCCCTGGGGCCCAGGAGCAAATGTCTAAAATGGCAGGTACTCATCAGACTGGATAGCCACCTGCTTTGGCCCTTTGAGGTTATCTGTCTATCTAGAGGCAGGGACCATGGGCTGAGTAACCAGCCTCAGAGACCTAGACCTCACCAGGCATGGGTGGCATAGTGGCTGTTCCCAGTCCAAGGCCACAGAGTTCCCCTGGGTAACAGGCAGGGCTTCGGGAAGAGCAAGGACAGTCATGTGGCAGCTGCAGGGCACCTTGGAGAGGGCCAGCAGGCCCAGTAGAGCTCATCCGTTTCACCTCTGACTCAGCTCTTAGACAGGGTTGCTCATTCCCATGGCTCTGAAGAGGCAGCGTTAGTGAGGCTTCTAGATTGGGCCAATGAGAGCCCCGCCTGGTGTCTCCGCCCAACACAAGTTCTCTGTCCAGGTGCAGCATGGGGCTGAGTCGGCTCTGGCCCTTAAAAGGCATGCAGCCCCACCCCACAGCTCCCCCAACACACAGCTACCTGCATCTGCTGGGCCTTCCTTCTGTCTCCCCACTTCTCTACCCAGACAAGGATCAGGTAGGGGGTTTACAGTACCTTGCAGGGGCACCCAAGTGCACAGCTGCAGCAGCACAGAGGGTGGGGACAGCCCTGCCTTGCAGAGGGACATCTCTCTCTGGGAACACAGGGTATGTGGACTCATCCTCCATCCCTAAGGCAGGGCTGTGCCCTCACATGCTGTAGTGGTTTCATGTCCCCACTCCACTCCATGTGCCCCACGTCCACTCCTTGTCTTTCGTCTATGTGTTGGTGGATTCAGTCAAATCAGAAGAAAGTCTGGGGTGAGGTCACCATTCTCACAGAGGCAGGTAGCTACCACCTCCCTCCCACTCCAGGGAGAAGAGAAAACCCCATTTCTCTGCTCACTGCACTTATGACCCCCCAATGTGTGGATTTTCACACACCTAAATTCTCAAGTTTCCATAGACACACACTGGGCACCCCTCTCCATTAACTCAGCCCCTTAGAGTTCAGCCCTACAGGACACCCCTACTCTGGGGGTCCATCAAAAGCAGGGCCCTCAGGTCACCTACATGTCTGCCACAAGTCACAGTTTCCTGTGACAACTCCTCACATCAGGCAATTTGCTAGACTAGCTCAGGGAGTTCAGGGAGCCATATACTCACTGTTACCAGTTTATGGCAAAGGACATGGCTCAGGCACAGCCAGAGGAAAGAGACACAGGATGAGAGAGCAGGGGTGCCTGGCCCCTCACCCTGAGGCCTCCTTGAGCATTCCACATACTCCCCAACCCTAAAACCCCAACCCTGTTTCCAGAGATTTCTTGATTACATCCCTGGCCATTGGTGATGGAGTCCATCAGCTCCCCTAACCCCAAGGTGGGGACAGGGGCTGAAGGTAACATCCCTAGGTTAGGGGTTGGTTTCTCTGGGACCACCCTCCCATTGCCTTAGTAGCATAAACAAAGGTGGGGCCAAAGGGGCTTCTCTCACCCCATCACTTGGATATTCCATGGTGTTTCTCAGTAGGTTACAAAGGCCTGACCAGGTCCACCAGTGGCCACCCTGCCACAGCACTGTCCACCATGGCCACCCATGTGACACCTCTGTCCCCAGAAGCCTGAATTATATGCCCATGTGATCATAAGGGGCTGGTGTCCCTGTGGCTCCTCCCATGATCACAGTTCATGCAAATTTCTATGCATTTGGGGTCTGGGCACTCAGCTTATCCACTGAGTTCACACAATGAGGGCACAGCTAGTCCTCGCTGAGCATGTGAGGGCCAGAATCACTACCACAGGGGGACGTGCTGTGACTCAAAGCCTTCCTCAGTGAGCTAACAGCTGTGCTCCAAAGGTGGCTGGGAGTCACAGTGCACCAAGGAAAGCCATCCGCAGAAATGCCCACAGGACACTGCTGCTTCCAGACCCTTGATGAAGGAAAGACAAATAAATGCAGTTTACCTGCTGGCAGCTTTATATCTTGTTCAGTTAGCTTTAAAGTATGCAATGTTACATTTGGAACAGCAAGAAAATACCATTAGCAGCAAACTTGGGTTCACACATTGACCTCTGCTCTGTATAAATTAATCAAGTTTGAACTTTTTAACCTTGGAATACTTTGATTACACAAATTTATACCTTAAAATTTCTTTGTGTCGGACATACCACCTGCATAAAAATCCTTTATCCAACAACTTCATGGCTAGGCTATAATGCGGATATGTGTATTTTTGGTCACTGAGTTGTCAAAGGTATCCTACAGCCTGAGGAGCCCACAGCCCCCAGGGTTGTTTACCTCTGCGCTTAAGCCTGTTTGAAGCCTGCATCTGGCTCCTCCCTCCCGCTTTGCCCATCCCTCCCCCTCCTTCCCTCCCTCCCTTCCTCCTTTCTCAGGGGTGTGCATTAGCCAGTTAATAGAAGTTTATGTTGTTGTTTTGCTCCAAAGTCAGGCGTGCCAAGCTGACCTTTAATCCGGGGATATAAATCACTTTCCACTCTTACTATTTGTAAAGTCCCCAGCAGCAGTGCATAAAAGAAGCCTTTGTGTGGTGTTAATTGAGTTTTTAAGTTAGAGCTTCAAGCCCGGAGTAAGAACAGCTGACATACACCTCAGCCATTACCAGTGAGGTTCTCCCGTACATAGGTGGGGTGACTAAGATGGGTGGAACCAGCACTGTGTGTGT